AGACAATATTTCTATATTTCTTTATGTGCTCCATTGAACGACTAACTATCAGAATGTGCTCACTAACTGATGTCAGAGAGGACAGCAACCATGTAATTTCACTATAAATCAAATTCATGTAATTTAAATAATACTTATACATGCCTGTGAAACTGGTGTGTCCTACATTGATAGGAAATATATATATTTTATGCTGTCTTCTATACTGTGTTGATTTGTATTCCTCCGCTATGCTCCATCAGTTTCATCTCTAAAATATCGTTTTAGCGACCTGGTAACCTGATATGGTGTTTGAAGTCTCTTTTAAATGTGGCCTGTTATATCACAGTTTCTAATGTATCGTGTGATCTTTCTCTGTCTTTTCTTTCCTTGTTCTCAGATTCCTAATCAAGTTTATTGTGGATTGAACTCAGCTTGTCTTAGATTGTCTATCTTGCCACTGGCGGGTCTTCTGTTTCTCCATACGTCTCTTCTTTATGAGCTTACTGTTGTCCAGAGAAAGCCATTACTCACATCGCCACCTCTTTCTTCCACAAGCAACTGTGCAGTTTCCTTTGAAATAGCTTCAAGAGAATTCTACTGCTCTGCCACTTATATCTCATCTGTGATTCTAAATGGTGTCTTCCATTTTGCAGTGATGAAGGCCTTAAATATGCCATTCGAAGTTTCATCCTTCAGCTTCTGAGTGCTGAACTTTAATTTTGGCGTGTATCCACCTTTGATGGATTTCCGTCAGACCTTGGAGATTCCTTGCGTCAGGTGACCGTCTGAGCTAACATCCTTCTGCTTCTCGATTATGTGTCAAGCAGACTTCGCCTCCACGCCATTAAGATTATGACGAAGTTGGACTAATTTTCACTGCGCCCACCAGGCGAAATCCATGTGACCTTGTGTGCGTCCTTGTGCTTGTATACACTACCCCGAATCACCAGATCATTGAAGGAGCAGAAATATGTGAGGAGTTCTCCATTCTCATTCATTTCACCGAGAGCCTATCTACCCATGATGAGTTTGCGTACTGTGTTACTTTGTCTCATTTCGGCATGTATTCATAAAACTCGTCAGGATTCCGATATCGTCGTCTGGTGCCTTGTACGCTACTGCTGTTGGTTGTTCATGGAAGCCCTCTTTCCCTTTTTGCTCTGTGTTTTTAGGTCACATAAGATCGGATGAGATTAACTTTGCTTGATTTTGAGTTGAATCGAGCTGTCACTGTCCTGCAGGAGATTGGCTGACACTGTGATGTTACGAAAGCCAATCCCTTAATGTGGTTAACATACGGTTGGCCGGAGTAGGTTATTGACTTTCCAGCCAACTATTTGGGGACTGCATATGTGTTTCACCTTACCTCAGAGATTCTTAAGAGCTCTACGTCAGATTTTCTCATTTATTTTTCAGTTTTAACAACCTCTTCCACTCTAAACATAATGTGAACATTCCATCTTCCAGTGGGCAGTCTTATTTTCATTGAGAGCATCTATATCCGGCTGACTGATATGCGGCGGTCTTCCATCAGCCTGCGCCACTCCGCCTCTCAGACCCCACCATATCATAGGTTCAGTTTTTATACTTTTTTTAAAGTTTCTGTAGCGACTGCATCAACTTTCAGGTGTAGATCCGCTAGCTACATTTCCAACCTTCCACCTGTTTCCGGGCTTAAGACCGGTGAGCAAATTATGTATCGTGTCAGTTTCATGATAAACTCCGTGACATTCCTCTTCTACAGATACTGTTACTTACTCCGATGAATGGGAAGCTGGCTTTATAATCCCGCACGACAAATACGGTGTTAACGGAAATGTTCGTAACTATAATTCCACAGTCATAACTTTAGGTATCTCAAATGTTATAGATAGAGTTGTAAGGGACCAGTTGCCCGATCCTCTACTTTAGGAAGGTCTTGCATTCAAATTTATACTTCTGAATATTAGTGAGTTTTATGAACTCTGAACATGATCCGTCTACTCTAGACTTGGCAATAACACACCAGAAGGAGGACGTTGGTAACATAAGTTGCCTTCCGCCGCTTGGCAGCAGTGACCACGTAGTCATTACTCTTACGCTTAATATTCATTCTCTCATACACAGGTCAACATCTGCTCGTCCAAACATTTGGAAGCGGATATACCGGGAATCCGGTAGCTGGTTGGTCATCTGATACAAGTTGGACTGTCGAGGATGCTTGAGTGGGATTTAGGAACATACCAGATTGTGTTACTGCACCTGTTGTACCCTGGCACACTTCGAAAGCTATCGCACAAGCCAACTTGGATTACTAGTGGAATAAGGAGGCTTTTAAGACGGAGGAAGAACTAATGGGACGAGCTCATCATGACAGGGAGGGAAAATTCCCAGAAGGACTACGGCAAAATTCGAAATCTCCGTGGGTATATGATTGACAAGAGTCGTATAGAGTATGAGAGACAGCTAGTACTGGATTGTCCAAAATGGCTGTACCTGTATATTAAACGTAGGACTAAAACTAGCAGCGGTATACCGTCACTCATAAGCATTAGTGGAGAAGCGGCTGAGCCAGACGAGGGAAAGGCTGGAAACCTTCCTGAAAAATTCTTTGACGTCTTCTCGTTTGATCGCACCACTCAGGGATATGGTGAATTCATTTCCATCGCCAGTCAGGTGACCGCAATTGTGGTAGAGCACACAAAGGTCTTCAAACTACTGTCAAAACTGAAGCCAGGTAAATCACCTGGGCCTGATGGACTTCACCCTAAACTGTCAATTTCCTTGGCGAATATAATATATTTCCGCTTGCGGAAATTTTCCGAATGTCTCTGACCCAGGCTAAGCTACCCGGGGACTGGAAGGATGCCATTACAAGCCCTATCTTCAAGGAGGGCAATTGGTATCTAACTACAGGCCGGTAAGTCTGACATGCATTATAGCAAAGGTAATGGAAACAATTATAATGGATCAGCTATTAGCTTATGTTGAAACACATGGCTTACTGGCAGTGGAACAGCATGAATTCCGACCAGGACGATCCTGCTTGACAAACTTACCGTTAGCTAGGGAAGATTGGGTCGAGGCCAGAGATAAAAACCTTTTGTTGGACGTGGTTTTTATTGATCTTAGCAAAGCATTCGACAAAGTATCCCACTTAGGTCTCCTTAGTAAGCTTAAAGGTTTCGGACTAGACCAATGCCTGTGTGAGTGGTTTAGGGATTACCTAATGGATAGAAGGCAGAAGGTTAGAGTTAACGGTGTACTATCAGGGTGGAAGGCATTATCCAGTGAAGTGCCTCAGGGAACTGTATTAGGCTCCTTGGTATTCCTATTATACGTCAATGAACTACCGGGGATTCTTACTTCATCTTCATTATTATTTGCAGACGACATTAAGATCTGGACAACCGTAAATAATAACGATGATAGGTCGGCCCTACAAAGTGATCTAGATAAATTAACTGAGTGGTCGAACCTGTAGAGTTTAGAAATTAATTCTAGGAAAAGTGCTGTAATGCACTTGGGTTAGAAGTATTATACGTCGTACTCCCCAGGGGACACAGAATTACCTGATGTTAACGGACAGAAGGACCTAAGAATCGCTGTCAGCTATGATTAAAAAAAAAACTGCAAATTGCAGTGCAGCCGCAGCTAAGGCTTTTCGAATGCTGTGGGTAACCCGGAGAGCTTTCGGGCGATTAAATGAGTCTATGTTCAAAATAGTCTTCGCAGCATATGTCAGGCCTTATTTAGAATACTACATATAAGCGGCTAGTCTATACTTCGAGAAGGAGGGACATACCTTAGGAAGAGTACAAAGGGTAGGAGCCAAATTTTTTAGTGGTATCTCACACTTTCCTTATGACAAAAGGATGGAGCACTTAAATCTCTTCCTGGAACTTTTTACCTGATTCACTAGTATCAGATCCATAGGTAAACGCTTTCAAAGAGAAGTTAGATCTCTGCAGAGGTATATTTTGCAAGGATTAACACAGGCCACAAAAGCCTACTATCCTTATCATCGGAATCTATGAGTCCATGGTTTGTTAAATTTATGTCAACTTCGTACACAAAACTTTTGTTTCCTGTTGAAGGCAACTCTAAACAATAGGAAACCAAAACGAAACGACCTACGAACGCACAAATGACCTCGTCAAGGACCAATCAGAAGGCTCAAAAAAACGACAATAGTCGTCCCAGGCAGCACTAAGCGCTAGACAATAGGCAATAATACACATGCCCTGCGCTTAGGGGTCGCCTCAATATGTCCTTTCTGGAGGCTGGTGTCATATATCCCTAAAACCTATTGCTGGAAAAAACAGTCACCTGATCGGCTGCTCAAGGTCATTTGTGCGTTCGTAGGTCGTCTCGTTTTGGGTTCTTTTTGTTTAGAGTTGCCCTTTGATAATTATCTTCTTATAGTTGAGAGGCATCTGTTGTACATGCTTGACTTATGTTCCATTCCCAGTAGAACTTTGTTTGTTCTAATCCCTTTGTTGTTTGTCTGAGTCGTTGCGCGCAGTCTAGTATGGCCATGCAGGTTTGGACTTTATGGTCAGTTGTAGGTAACAGCGTGTCGTTTGCATTACCTGCACGTGGAACGCTCGAATTTGTGATGATGGGGTTGCTATGACAGAAGCGCTTGGAGATTTCCATTACATAGGTAGCATGGTATGGATCCCAAATGGGAAACCAACCGTGTTATGGAATCCTGTCAACTATTCATCCTAGCCGAGAATTAGAACGTTCCTTCCAAGGGTATCTGCCGGATGAGATCTTAGGTCCTGAAGGATTTCTAGATACATATACATTCGCTGACAGTCACTCGGACAGTATATTACTGCCGAATCATGCTGCTCACCGATTCGAACTAGATGTAATAAATGAACTGCTGCAGGCAAGATTCTCCTCTAGAAGTATGTCTTAGAATTCAACTATGGTCGGTTTTGAGGTTGAATCCCTAGAAGATTACAAGGTGAATATCAAGAATGCATACAATGATTTGATCGGTGAGTCTTTAAATTCTGATGATTTTGATGCAAACAGCGATAAACACAGGACTGCTGATATTATCAGCGTATGGTACTGAACACGATGTGCCGAATTTTAAAAGGTTTTCTCAATTTATAAAAAAGCAATACACCTTGGCGGAAGATGAAGAAATAATGAACTATTCAGAGGAGAGGAATCTCTGAGGGTATGTAATGCAGATTTTAAGAAGTTTTATTGAAACATTTGGTAATATTGTTGTTTTTCAATTATATTAAGTTATAAGTTGGCGATTTCATATTTCCTTGTTTGTTTATTTTTCACGAAGTTATTTCGTTATCTAGTGGGTTTAACTACAAGTTGAAAGCAGTCAAATGTTCACTGAAGCACACTACTCAATCTTAATAAGATTAAGAAATCTGCCCATAGTGTACGCCACACTATTGGATATCAACAAAAAACCAATGAGCATTGTGGTTATGTGATAGTGAGGCAAATTATTGCTTGGAGTTCTGCTGGATTGGACTACAGTTTGCTTGAAGCTACAACTGACAATTACGCCCTTTTTGTATGGACTTATTTGACTGAAATTTCTATAGGTGGCGGAAGTGCCCAACGATAGGCTTTACAGTTATTCGCTATGACATCAATTTCAATCTCATTTTAGTCAAGATGCCACTTTTGGTATCCTACAAATTTCTTCACTCGTGTTGAGCGTGGTATCTTGGTTATTTATAAACGCATGTCTTCCTGGCTGTCAAGTTAGATGACATACTGAAGACAGAAAACCTGGGAATATGGGACAGCTGTTCCGTCCTAGTTCGGGACTCTCAAGCAGTGTGAAACCATAACCATTTTGGGGCTATTATGCATCGTTATTCTCTACCCGTGTTTTCTCCATATATATATATATATATATATATATATATATATATATATATATATATATATGAGTGTAGCAATGTATGTTTGTAACTTTCTTTCCTTTCGAGTTGAATCTAATACTTAGTCATTAACGTACTAGTAGTCGAGTTTTGGTCTATCGAGTGTTAAACATGTGCTTGGTTAAAGGGGACTCAATAAATATGATTATGCACGAAACATTTTCGTTTTGAAAATGTTAAATGTCATGATCAGCCTACTAAATGCTCGAGGATTACTTAGAGGGGCACACTGGTAGACGGACCAAGTTTTATCCCGTGAACTAGTAAGCTATAACTACATTCTATTTAGGTTGGGTTTACATGATAGGCAACTAATGTAGCTCCGAACCAGTTGGAATGTCTCAAAGCTTTCTATCTACTGTTTAAGTTATCGCTCTCTGGAAACTTGAATTGCTTCAATACTAAGTATCCTGCTATCTCATTTATTGAAAAATGGCATGCAATTTATTGGGATGGTATATTTCACAGATTGAGTGATATGAGTAGTTGGATACCAACTGCATCCATCAGTAGTGCTTACTAACCATATCACAATGGTCTCAGCACTTGAGACGGGTTCATTAGTAGTCTAGTCGGTTTTGACTCAACTAGGAGAGCTTATTCACTCGATCGTTATTTATGGTACCAAGCAGATCACATATTGTGGTCTGAGCTATTTTCGTTTTCAAAAAAAATAGTAGTGGAATTACATCTCACTGTGTCCATTTGTGAATTCATTAAATTCTGTTTTTAGTATTCAGTTTGAAAGTCTTCGAAACGATTTACAGTCTATACACATATATATTTTCAATACTGGTATTTGGGTCAGGTATGGTGTTGAGCAGAATACTTACAGTAGGAAGTTAAGAAGTACTTTCTGCGTATCTTACGTACCTGAGTATATTTGGGTCACTGAGTTTTCCGCAATAAAGCCACTAAAATATTTCGCCCATCTTTCTGATTATTTCCGTTTATCTACAACATCGAGAAAATAACATTTGTCTATCTGAGGTATATTAACACTTAAGAACTGTTTCGCTACGCATACTTGGTATCCACAGTCTTCTTCGTTAAGAGTGTATGATCTATGGTTGAAATCATCTCTGATACCCTACCTGTTGTATTTCTCTTCCTTCTTTGATTGTTAAAGGTGAAGCTTGAAGATAAAATGATCCCTAATCATTCTTCATCCTCATTTTTTTGGTTGTGAACAGTCACGCTAAAAACATATGTGGTATTCTGTATTACTGATAGAGTGATATGAGTAGTTGGATACTGTTTACCTCAACAATTAGTGCTTGTTAATCAGATCAGATTGATCCAAACCCCTAGAGTCAAGCTCATCAATAGTGTAGCCGGACTTGACTTAGCCAGTAGAGCTTGCTTACTTGATTGCCATCTGTTGTACCAATTAGATCACATACTGTGGTCTGAACTACTAGGATTTTCAAATAAGACTGATGTCTATTCCTCTCGAAATGTGTGTATTTTGCAAATTGTGAGATTGATTTTAAGAGAATTCGTGTTCGCTGCATTACTATTTTCTTATTTGACCATTTGTTTCTTATCTGTTTTGTATGTGGTAATTAAATATTGTCATTTCTTTTTATTCTCTTATAATTATTTAGCTTGATTCATCGATTCTCACATCAGATTCATCTGTTGCGTTGCGTTCACCAAGTAATCCAGAATGGATTTCACAGTTAATAAATTGTTCCCCATACATAACAACACCGTTACAAGCTATGCTCCTTGTTACCATGACCAATGGTTCTGTTATTGAAGCGTACAATTTTTTAACAACTGGAAAGCGTCGTCAGCCATCATCGTCTGATGAATTTAGTCCACCTCTTTGGTTATTTGATGATGACAGATCTTTGAGTTCAGAAGACGCAGAAGCAGTTGATGAACTTGTCAATCGTTTTGGCTGGACGGAAGTAATTGAGCGTTGTAAATTTTTAAAAGATCCAGATTAGCTCAGGCTTATACAACTATGATTATTATTTATTGTTTTGTATTCATTGGCCACGTGAATCCATTCCATATTGTAACGCTAAACTTTGACTAACAATATTAATTATTGTACAGGGTTTATTTTTTAAGCTGTAAATCTTGTTGATATTCATTTTCCTGGTGTTCTTACTCTCCAAATTTATTTCCTATTGTCCTTTGGGTACGCTTGTGTGTGTATATGGATTTATTTGCCTGTCTGATTTTTACACCGTTGAAGTATTACTCATTTGTGTTTAACTCTGTAAATGTGTATAATAAACACAATACATGCTAGCAGTATTATTCTTTATAACAATAGATTTTCGTTATATCTGTGCTTTTGCTGGTTGTCTGTATTGCTTGTCTTATTTTGGTCGTTGATGTATCTTTGCCTACATTAGATTTCCATTGACTGTTGAGGTCCGGGCTCGATTCCCACTCTACACACTCGTAATCCTTGCCTAGTTTACCATTTGGTAAAGTTAAGGGCTAGCGACCCCAAACTGTCAGCCGAAGTGATGACAGTGGTTTATCCATGGTAGGGTTTTTGTCTGTTCTGACAACTATGGCGAGTTTATTTGCCATGCGTAATTAACTGTGAGCTTGCAGTGATTGAAGGATGTGAAATGACAACTCTTACATCACAGTGAACCGACTGGTTTTTGTTTTCCAAGCATTTTTCTTCTTGCACAGAGAGCCAACAGTTTCTGAACTGTTTCACATACTCTGTGTAATCAGTCAGTGGGAAAGTATTCCAATCCCTTATATTTGACCACTTTCACATTAATCTTCTTCTTCACGGAGAATAACCCTCTTAGAATAAATTCAGATAAGTTCTCATTCTTGTCTTGGGGCTGACCCCTACCTAGATATTCATCTGGAAGTTAAATTTTCTCCGAGAAACTGTGTTGATAAAGCTAGCTTGTGGATGACACAGCCTTTGGGTGGCACTTGTTTCAATAGAGTTGTGGTTTGTGATTGTTTGCAGAGATTCAAATTGTAGTCCCAGTAATTCGTATATGTAGAATCGGTATTCATGCTTTCAGTTTCTACAGATGGTACTGTATCTATTAAAATGATGCATGGTAACTGTCAGATACATTCGCTATGGCTATGGTTATGATTTTCTTAAGTGTAGGTAGTATGTCTTACTCTTATTTTACCGAAAATTTATTGTTACCTTTTGCCTAATTGTTTCGCTTTTTTCATTTCTTTGTTAATTTGTAGATAGTTCATGGATAAAGAGCCACTCACGCCTGTTCCTTCAGAGCAACTTCTTGGACCTGGATATGGTCAAGGTGTATGGCCTTTGCGTGAGCGGTTGGCATTGGCTACAGCTCTTTTAGACGTAGATAATCAGCAGGGAACCTGGTCGTCTACCAGTCGTCGTCTGATGCCATTTTCTAAACCAGGCCGGCCACCTACATGGTGTTCCCCTAGAGCATGTGCGAAGCAGTACGCCTTACTTCTAGATTCAATTGAATTGGTCAAGCGACAAAATATGCCAGGGAGTGACTCTCAGTCAAGTCAGCTGAGTTTAGCTGAGCGTGTTGTGAAGCGTTTGAGTGCTGAACGAGCAGAAGAATTAAGGTCGCGTATACAACGTGAACAGAAGTACTACAGGTAAATAAATTTGTTTTCCAGCCACCCATTCTATGTTCGATACAGTCTCACGATTACCAGTTGTTGCTTTCCTCTCGAAAAGAAGTTGATTTATACTTGTCATTTTGAAAATTCCCATTCAGTCATAGAAAAGGAAAGGCGTTCAGCAAAGAGTTACTCTTTTCGGCGATATCATTCTCAAGCTGTACAAACCGCAAATTTATAGTAATTTTTCTTGGCAACAAAAGGAATATTTCCAAAAATGCAATTGTTAATTTTTGATAACAAATTACGTAATTTAGAAGGCGTTAATCGGTTAGAAACTAAAATAAAGTTACAAAAGTAGGTTGGGTGACGTAATCTAATTGCTAGGGTTCAATGAAAAATGAATGAGAGTCAAGTTAATAATCTGAGTAGAATTCACTTGAAAATGGATGAGAGTTAAGTTGACATTAAGTTGTCATTTTGTTGTAGGTGATTCTTCCTATTATATTATGTACGTCACACAGTCGACCTGTGAGCCAGTTAGTAATGCATATGTTTGATTTTGAACTATTAAATTACGAGTTTATACGTCGACGGTCATCTGTCCTGCAAAGAAGGTGGTATTGTAACCTGGGACATAATTCACAGGGTTCACATCATGATATTCGATTGTGATGTAAACTAATGCATATTTAATTGCCTGTCAAATCATTCCACAATACTCGTAGGTTTTATCGTTTGCATTATGAAGTGAGCTTCTCTGTCTGAGAAGCTAGAATAACAAACTATTATTTATCACCATCATTATGAAAACTCGTATTTTTCCTTCTAGTTCATTGAAAAGTATTATTTCGAACGTGGAATCTGGCATGTACGACAGTCAGTTGCCCATTTTGTTGGAGCAAATCAAGTCTTTCACTGAATCAAAAAACAAACCAGAAAATGTTACACCTGGAAAGAATACTTCTCAAACTAACAGTCCTTCGAAAACTGCGACTTCTACTGGAGATACAACTACCAATAAATTAAAACGCCAACCAGAGGTAAAATGCTCAGATAAGGGAGATTCGGGAAACGTATCTGCTGAAAGTAGTCCACAGGGTGCTGAGGACCTTCTCGGATTAGTGAGGGAAATACACGATTTTTATCGCATTCCTGATTCAACATGGTACTGTGCTCCTGGTCCGATAAACAGTTGTAAGGCCTTTGGAAGTGTGACAAGTAGATCTCGTCCGTCCACTGCAGCCGGTCCTGTTAAATCCTCCCGTGTACTGGATGAAGCATCATCACCACGTCGAGAATCTGGAGTGGGTTCCAGACATTCGGCTAAGAAATCTATGAATTTTAAGTCTGGTAAACACGATTCGGGTCATGCTACAGCTGCTTCACGTGCTGCTGAAGCAACAAAACGAAGGTATTTGTCAATAGCAAGCAACAGTAAATTTTCACCGAAATCAAGAAAATCCAATCGAAATGAGAAATGCATTAAAGAACCTAAAAAATTATCGAACGACTCTTCACGTAAAATTCAGCGTCAAAATGATGTATCCTCTACTCCTACCTCAAAAGGAAATTTCGTAAGTCAAAGTGAGCTCCCTGTCATTTTTTTTCTTCACGTTCTCCAGTGGAACATAGGGCTTCAAGCTAGTGGCTTGAAGTTTCTGTAGCAGTGCTTATTTTACTGGATAGGGTTGCTAGCCTCATGCCTAACCTTTCCTCTTCACCAGTATTATTTCTGGCTTAGCGAGGTAAAGGAGTGCGTCGGCCGGGGATCGAACTCCGGACCATGTGCATGGTCGGCTCCCTGTCATTGTTGTTGCTTTATTATAACGTTTAGGAAAATTTTCCAATATTACCTGAATATTCCTTTCGAAGCAATGTCTTCGCTTTCTGAAAGTGTGACAATGTAAACTGATGCAGTTGTCAGCAAAGTTCTATTTTCTATTTGCTCCAAGCATAAACACGACCTACCATAAACACAGACCATCGTCGAGTAAATAGCTTGTAGTCTTCCACTATTCTCTGTGAACGTAACGGTTTGTGTTAAGCATAGAGTATTTCTTTTTGCCATTTCTTGATTACGGACAAGAGAATATGGCTTCTAACTTCCCCTTTACTCGGGTCTTACTACCGACGAATAAACTAGGCGATGTTTGTAAGTGTGTTGTGTATAGAGTATTACATTTAGTAAAAGAAAGCCGTCATATATTAGACATCACGTAACTTCTACCATAGTGCATTTTATTACAATCAATGTTGGTGAGAGAAATTAATTAGTCGGGATAAAAGAAAGAGATTAGCCTTCGACGAATTGAGTTATTGTTCATTTGGGTTAAATAAACCAGAATTACCGAATACAAATATCTATGTAAAGGACGGGGTTGGATTCTGTACTTATATAATACTGTACGAAATAACTTGGTGAAATGAATTCCATATTAGCTAAATTTATTTGATATAACGTCGGAGAAGCTGCGTGGATGATCGACATTCACTATTTGCGACTTGGTTCGTGGAGTGTTTGAATATTTTCTTGAGGATGACGGTAAACGGCATCCGTAGTGCAACTGATGAAGATGTAATGCTTTAAATCACCGAAAATACCCATTCAGTCATGAAGAAAATAAAAGACAGATTCAGCGAAGAAAATTTTCTTTATCGACGAAATCATCTTCAGAGGCTATACAATCGTATTTATACTTACAAAAATATATAGTGGTCTATTATTGAGTAATAGGGGGTGACATAATTGATATAATTACCTTGGTCTTAACCTCTTCACTAATCGTTCCTTGTAAATAAAATATATTTTGATTTTTTCTTTTCATTCTAATTTCACTTTTAGTTAGCTTTTGCTTTAATAATTAATTCACTGTTATCACTCTCATATGCTCCTTTTGTATATTGTCACACCCCCTTCACACTTGTTAAATTGACACTCAAATACCTTTATTCTCACTTAATAGCAATTTTAACCTTATCAAATTTCTATTTTTGTGCCGTTGAGTACCACGTAATTTACAACTTTTAATTTTCACTTCTAAAGCCACTTCTGAGTAATTATATCAATTATGTCACCCCCTATTAGTTTGTTTATTAGGTATATCACACAGTGAAACAGTATTATTTGCTGGATGACGTTTCGAACAAAATTTATTGTTCATAATATCAACTGTGATCACACGACTTTGACACTTGAGTTTTATAGCTTTCTTTGTTTTCTCCAATTTGTCGTAGGGGGAGTAGAATTTTCTATATATCGGGGACAGGTGATGAATCATTCCTATTACATGTATTTGCAGTTGATTCAATAAACAAAGCTTCTGTCATCAATCTCTCCCTCCACCCTGCTGTGACATTAGATTTTAAAACTGTCATCCTATCCCATCCTATTGTATGGTTGTGTGTGACTGCATGTAGTGCTATAGCTGAACTATTCTCTAGATTTCTTATCTTATTCGGGTCAACCAATCTAGATTTTGCTAAGTTTTTATGTTCAGCTAGTCTGACTGCCCCTGTTCTACTAGTTTGACCTATGTATTTGACCTGACAATCATTGCAGGGTATTAGATAAACTAAATTGTTTTGTTTTAAAGGCTCTATAGGATCCTTTAGCCGACAAAGCTTGTTTCTAATTGAGTTTGTGGGTTTGAATGCCGCTTTTATTCCTGCCTTGTTGAGAATTCTGCGTAAAGCTTCTGAGGTTCCTTCCTTGTATGGAATTACTACTGATGATTTAGATTCCCTATTGTTGGCGTCGTCATTAATATTATTATTATTATTATTATCACTATTATCATTATCATTATTATTGTTATTATCACCTTGTTTAATTTAACCTTTCCATATATATTGACTTGACAAGTAAATGTGTGATCAGATTGTTCGAAATGTATAGCGCTAATACATCACATTTTTCAGATAATCTCCGTCTTCTAATAATGCTATCAAAATTATCACTATCGCTATTATCATTATTTATTTTATTTTTACATTTCCTTACATATTTCCTGACTAATTTATCCGGGTAATTATTACTTACTACCACAGTGCCCAAGTTTTACACATATATTAATATGTCACCCCCTATTACTCAATAATAGACAACTATATATTTTTGTAAGCATAAATACGATTGTATAGCCTCTGAAGATGATTTCGTCGATAAAGAAAATTTTCTTCGCTGAATCTGTCTTTTATTTTCTTCATGTAATGCTTTATCGTACACACATGGTAGTCTCCTTTTAGGAATGTGAAGTGCAGCAGGTCGTCGAAACGCTTTCATTCTGCTGTGGAGTCTCCAGTCTATTCCTCGAATCCTACCTCACCTTGTGTCTGGTAGCTATTTCCTTTGGATGAGTGTTTTATGCCATTTCAATATTTCGCATTTTTCCCGAGGTTTTTACTTCCAGAAATTGGGTTTGCGATAACTCGCTATTATTTATTTATAAGTCCCCACTTTCCCACTTATTTTGTCACCCTTATGATATGCAGATAAAGGAACCACTATACTGCTTTGAAATCGTCATTCTAAATATATGACGTTGACACTTATTTGAGAAGTTTTACACATAGACTATTTGATCGTCTTAGAGGACACACATTATGTTCAGTTATGAGTGGCATCGATTCACTGTCTGTACACAGACCTGTTAACATTGTATTATATATTGTAGGTAGTTAGCAGTCTCCAAAGCATTTCATTTACTTTCCTATTCCATATTTCAGGTGTCACTCGAAAATCGAAGCTATCGGGTTCCATGATGCCTCATCAAAAGCCTAACAGTAATATGATTAGAAATACTGTGTCCGAAAAACAAGAAATTGCTAATACTTCTAGTGATGATGATGATGATGATGGTGAAAGTAAACCGGATGATGAGAGTTCCCTGTATGAAGAGACATCAACTGACATGCAGACAGACACACCTTCGTCCACACCATCCACAATTGCTATGTATGCGTCTGATATTGAAGATTTTCTGATTGAAGAAGATGATAAATCAGACAATACTGTTCCAATTGACGATTCTGCTACATACTGTGCTTTAGATAACGATAGACAATTCACAGAAACGATTGATGATGAGAATGAGGCGTATCTTTCGAATTCTGAAGATGATGATTGCTTTGCATCAGATGTTGCCTCGTCTCTGTCTACTGAAGCAGATGGTAGGTTTTGCCATTGAATACTGAAGAAGCCGGAAATATGAAAGAGGAGAGCAATAAATAGTAAGATATTGATGTGTTGAACATGACTGTAGTGAATCGTACGTAAACGTCAGCTGATATTTGTTTTGTCATCTACTATAAACACGCCCACTTAGTGACTCGATCTGAGTACTTTGGTTTCCCTTAACAAGTTGTAATCAATAAATTATCTTAGATTCATTGCCTGTCGATTGTATAAAGAAAAGTTCTTACAAATGTGTCTTTTTCTTCTACTATGTTTATTTTGGTTAGAGTTGGGTGTGGTCTCCAGAATGCTTATGGTAATATGGTTCAAAGTCAACCGTTATTAGTTGCACAGATTCATTCACTTAGCTTTCTTTCTCTCCTCAGACCGTGCGCGCTACTACATGAAGTATGGCGACTTGAACTGACACGTTATTTCTGAGCGGAGCTCTATGTTGAAACTCTGTCATTCAGCATAGACAAACATAAAACATCTGAACAGTTAAATGGAACATTCGTAGTGCACTGTTAAACCCTTTAATAGGAGAAATTTAATCTGAGTGGACAAACAAACGCTAATATGAATGTAGTTGTAGAATGGTTGTGTAGCGGTGGTTTAGAAATAGGTTTCGTTGTAGTTATTCTCGTGCATCCTCCTGAGTAGAAAGGTGACATCTCATAAAATGATCGGTGAAACGTCATTTATCCGATATAGGGCTATTAGCAAGACTTCCAGTCTGAGGGGTGATAATATCCAGTTACCAGACTGAAATAGATGTAGCGAAATTCTAACGCGAACCTGTTGGCTGGGAGTTTGATGTTTAAGCCAATGAGATACATGCTCACCTGAGATAATTCCACATTCTTATGTAGACAAATGGAGTTAATTACATCAACACCAGCAATCACATAACAGTAGCGTCACAGATAATGTATCTTCAACATAAACAGATTTGCTACAATTTAATTTTGCATTCTACCAAATTATTATTATTGTTCCCTTGGGTTCCTAGTGGAACATAGGGCTTCAACTGCACGCCTCCACTTGCTTCTGTTTTGTGCTGTACTTTTCACTTGCATCTATGTTAATCCATACTGTTTCAGTTCCTCATTACACGATCTCCTCCATGTCACCCTTGGACGTCCCACTCGCCGCTTCCCTTTCGGGTTCCACTCGAGGGCCTGACGCGCGATGTCACCCGACGGCCTCCTCAGCGAGTGTCCAATCCATCTCCACTTTCTCCTGCATATTTGTTGGGCAATTGGCCCTTGCTTTGTTTGTTCCCATAGTTTCTTGTTGGTGATTCTTCCCGGCCATCTGATCTTCAGTATAGAACGAAGACAGTTGTTGATAAAGGTCTGCAACAGGCTGTTGGAAATATTCTTTGTGACCCGCCAAGTTTCTGATCCGTATAGCAAAACTGACTTGACGTTTGTATTGAAAATCTGAATTTTGTTGTTGACGCTGAGTGACAAAGATTTCCAGATTGGTTTCAGGTTGATGAATGTGTTTCTCGCCTTCCCGATTCTCGATTTGACAACCTCATCCGTTCCTCCTGTGGTTGAGACAATGCTGGCTGCCTAGATAAGTGAAAGAAGTAACCTCTTTCAAATCCCTCCCGTTGATGGTGATTGGCGCTGGATGTTGTTGTTGTTAGTTGGTTATTTTCATAACCTCCGTCTTGTCTATGTTCACCTGGAGTCCTGTCTTTGCTGCTTCTTCGACCAGTTTGTCGGTTTTTGCTTGTAAGTCTTCGATTTTGTGTGACATCAAACATAAATCATCCACGCGCGAAATCCATGTCTTCTAGGTTCTTGACGTCGGTCCAGGATATCCCTGTCTCCTCGTTTCCCACTGTCTGACTCATAATCCAGTCCACCACAATTAGGAATATCATTGGTGGTAATAAGCACCCTTGTCTGACTTCTGTGTTTACTCCAAACGCCTCGCTGAGTTTTCCGTTGTGGATCACTTGACATGTGCCGTTGTCGTATAGCTGTTGAATAAGGTTGATGAATATTTGGGGTACGCCGTAGTATTTGAGTAGTTTCCAAATTACTTCGCAGTCAACGCTGTCGAAGGCCTTCTCAAAGTCTATAAAGTTGAGGTAGAGGTTTGATTGCTATTCCATGCTTTGTTCGATGATAATGCGTAGAGCTGCAATTTGGTCAGAACAGGATTTGCCTTTCCTGAATCCAGCTTGTTCTGGTCGGAGTTCTGTGTCTAGTGCGTCCTTTATTCTCTCCAGGATGATGCGACTCATGATTTTACTTGGCGTCGACAGGAGCATGATTCCTCGCCAGTTCTTGCAGAGTCCTAGGTCGCCCTTCTTTGTTAGTTTCACGAGGTAACCTTTCCTCCAGTCAGTAGGCACCTTTCCCTCCTTCCAGACCTTTTGCAATAATGGAGTCAGCATATCTGCTGTCGTCTCTGGGTCCGCTTTCAGTGCTTCAGGGGGTATTCCATCTGGTCCAGCTTTCAGAAGCTTGATTGCATTCTACCAAAACAGCGTGCTAATTCACCCACACTTGCCTGCTGAACCGTTGTCCTCCTCAGTATCGTCAGCACACGCACATGCAATTGCAGAGACTGTCAGCTTGACCTATTTCGGAAGTAGCGGCTGGCTATCAGCTGAACACTCCTTTGTCTCTACCAACGAACATTGGACAAAGTAAAAGCAGCTGATACAATCAGCATTAATAGCAGCACGATACAGCTATGGACGAAACGACTCACCAGCAGGTTGCAGAAAACTTCACACAAGGCGAAATCACAACTTCGAAAATAAACCATCATCTTACGTTTGATAGGTGTGAACCGCTTGCCAAACGTGTCTACATTTCTGTCGAAGATGATCGTAAGACTGCATTTCGTCAGCGTCTTCACCTAAAGGATGTATATGATCTGCATACGTAAAATAGGCAAGACTTTTCCGTTTTGATAAGTTTGTCACTCTGTCGTTTAAGACGATCAGTTTGACATGCATAAGTATGTCTATAATGAAGCATTATGCGTCATTGATGGGCACCACTGGTTGTCTTTAGCCCAGATGACATCTCTGCACAAACCCGACTGCATGAACAGTCAACACGTGAACTTAAATGTAACACAAATTGATATGTATTGACCATTTTGTCTAAAAAAATACTATGGAAATGTACCTGATTAGCCTAGGCACTCGACTTTTAGTCGAAGGGTCCAGGTGCTGATTCAGTCTGGGTAATATTCTTAGTCTCCTTAGAACAAGAGTAGAGCAACCCGAGACTCATCTCGGGTTTAAATTCCTCAAGTTTGTTTTACCGAGTAGCCAAATGTGAATGGAGAAAAAATCCCCTCCTTTTTCATCCAGTTCAACGTGATTTATGGCTCTCGTCATACGGTTGAATTTCTTCGAACTATTAAATCAGTATTCAACTGCGAGTGAATATCCATTAGGCAATGGCGTCTTCCCCCGGATTCGAACCCTAGTTTATTTGCTTTGTTGTGAATTCTTCGAATAGTAGTGAAGGCATTTCACGCATGAAAATGTAGCTGGTTGACAAGCACATGAATAAACCTGTGCTGAATAGGCATGTTGAACTTTCCTTTTAACCATTCAGTGTCACTTTCTTACATATTCATTTCTACGATATATACACGCTACAGCTTTGTCTACAAATCACACTCTCTCTGTCTCTCCATTATTTCCAGTTGATGATTGAAGTAGTAGGAATAGTCTGTTTTGTTGTATACTGATTGTGGTAGAAGAAATTCTACTCACAGTCTGTTTTTTGTCAACAGCATGTCATTTTTCATAGAGAATATGTATTAACTGTTTGTTGCACAATTGCTATTTTCGGCTGTATGATTAAATTCTCGTTTCCAATGTTTTACTTCATCTAACAGTGGTTCGGATAAGCCAAATACTCCTGATTTGACTTCGAGGACTTCTGAACCTGTGGCTGATGAATCTGGCCAGTTGAATAACTCGTCCACTGAAGGAGGTCGTAAACATCGTAATCTTACACTTCGACTGAGTCGAAAAGGTACTCAACTTGTTGTTGTATCTTCTTCAGAATCAACACCTAATTGTTCATTGCAAGATTTGAATACATCGTCAATAGAAACATCTGTTGATGATACTTCTTCTCATGATAGTGATTGGCGTAGTTGGGCAAGTCAACTTCTAGGGGATAGTGAACGAATTGTGAATACATTGATGTCAAAGAATGAACGTTTGGTGCTTTCCCCTCGTTCCAAGTGAGTATCAGCCGTCTGTATCTTGCCTATGAAATTCCACTTTTTTTCTGAGGTTTTACTAGTTTGAAGTTACTGTTTTGAACCTACAGTGATATATTTAGTGTGTTTAATTGATACAGAAGTTCGTATTTGTGTGAAAATAGTTGATTGTGTGTTTTTTCAGTTGGATTCCTAACACACCCACACAAATACCATAGAGCTGATCTTTCGAGCAGTAGAATACTACGGTAGTAAAGTTTTTGAAAAATAATAGTCATCAGTGAATAACGGACAGCTGAATTATCTTGACCTATAGGTTTATTTTTCGGAGAATTGGTTGAATACCGAATATGTGACTTCTGTTTTTACCTGTAGAAACAGTGTATTCAGGTGAATGTGATACATGAGTACGGTCTGTTTCTTATTATCTTTCATCCTTCTGATTTCCCTATGAATCTCAGCAGGAGTGATATTCTGAGTTAGAAATCAAACGATATGCCACCTGTGGCTTGCACTTAAACAGCTTTCGCACCTAGCTTGTTGGAACCTTTTTTGCTGCCTCTATCATGTTGGATGAAGCTGTGATATTCACAGGTATTTGCTAATCTTTGGTTTTTGGTCATTAAGACAGGTTTCCTCAGAGTAAGTCTTGCTGTCAATCCGAGATACGCCTTTGTCCATTTCTTCCCTAAATAAAGACTATGTTGTCGTCGAGTTGGATGAGTATCAGCTTCAAAGTTACTTGTTTCTTCTGCCAGATCAATGACAGGAATATATGTGGACAGATTGGAGCGTGATAAGAATGAAAAGCCGTCTTCGAGGAGGAGCGACAGTCCTTCCTATACACCGACCCTCTCAATCTATAGCTTATAGCTGCGTGATCTATTTGAGATCATTGTTGATTTGATAATGGGTTTCACCAGGTTAGGCAATGGGTGCCCGTATGTTTGAATTGGGTTCTGATGAAATATAGAACTGTCAAACACAATCAACGTTGTCGGTTCGTCGATGCAGGACTCCATAGCTGCTGTCAAGATACTTTTCTGACTGGTGCAGTTTCCATAGTTGCACATTGAAGTCAACTGCCAAAATGACTATATCTGAGCGTTTCTGTTTTTGCAGCCAACTGTCCAAAACTGCGATGTTTTGGGTCGTAAGTGTACATGTAGAAAAGACATCGATGTGTAACACTATATTTTCTGTTTCCAACGGATCATTTGTCAACCCGGACAGCGCAAATAAAAACATTCACTGTGATAGAGTCAAGTAAGGATTCTTCTACCCTAGCACTCAATGCTCCTTTTATACAATCGAGTCCTCCCTAATTAACCGAACAATCTCGCTACTCCCCTAAAGAGAAGTCGGCAGATTCACCTTGTTGTTCAGGTGATGTTAAGTGGATAGTGTGCTCTTCGGCGAAACACAACACCCATCTATGACTCGAGACCCTATGGTAATATGTACTTATAAATATACTTAAAGCCATGAATATTGAAGTTGAGCTCCGGAGACAGATGTTTTCGAAGAAAACATTTTCAAGTGCTGGTTTCAGCTGGAGAACCATTGAAAACCACGAAGTAGTGGACAGGTGGTTTGTCTTAGTTTTGACACCATGGGGTATCGAACTCACGACGTACAGGTCATCAACGAAAGCCTCCACCTCTAGATCTCCGCATCCGGGACGGAACCCAATGACTCACGGAAAGAATATTGTTCACTTCTATATTGTATTTTAATTTTGACGATGAAAGTCTTTTTATGTTTCAGTATCTTATTCGATCACACTAATTACCCGAAGTAATTTTTTGTAAATCTTTCATCTGAGTAGAAATCAATTGTCGGAATCTCAAATAAAAGAATTGATCGATGAATTACTAGATCCTGTTGCGAGTGATTTGAATAAAGGATTGGTTACATCTAAGCTACAGTTTATACATCGTTTATTGCATCAAATAGCTGAGACCAGAATGATACGACCAAGTAATACAATTAGACACCGTATAGCTATCGAGTTGTATGAACAATGGGTTCAACAATTGCAAATAGACGTTCCAGAGCCAAGTTTCACATCAACGCCTAACTATTCAAACGTGAATACCTCAGTGAGTATTGTTGAATAACGTCTATGTATTATTATGGTTCAGTGTATTCTTTTCGTGAATTACTTTATTCTGTTGAAACCAATAATAATGTTAAGTAGAAGTGAGTAAACAAAACAATGCAATTGTGAAAGAATTTCACAGTAGGAAATTGTTTATGCAGTTACATTGTCTCTACGAGGGTGTAATCAGTTATGTTAATAATTACCTGTTTCGATAATGAGGATTTCAGCGATAAATGTTGATTCTGTGTAGATACTAATCCTCTCTGAGGTTGAGATGCTACTGTGAGTTGAATCCTAGGTAAAAATTCACTTGTGTATTTTCCTCTCCATCAAATATTAACCTATTCATCATCAGATTGTTAGTTATTGAGAAAAGAGGATTTAATGAGTCGGCATTGTTAAGTGTTGGTTTGTGGAGATTTGATTTGATTTCAAGTTTGATGATGGAGTGAAATCGGGTAGGAGATCATTGGGCACCAGGAAGTACCGGACAGTTGTTTCCTTCTAGTTCTGAACTGTTTGGCGGTACGGACTCAGTCAGTCCGCCATTCAGTTGCTAATGTGGGTTCGGGTACGTATCGTGAGTTGTCAGAATTTAGAATTCCCAGGTCATTGAAGTCCGTCTCGTCGCCTGAATGGTCGAGGATCTTACCTCGTAACCTTGAGGGTCTTAGGTTCTATCCCAGGTGGTGAGATAAGCGTGTGTTTCTGGATAGTCCCAAATAGGGAAGAGAAAGCTGTTCAATGGTTATCTAACTGATGCAACTTGAAATCGGAAATCACCTGAGACGCGACGTGCATACTCTACTCTGTGCTTGCCTACTTCATGTGTCATACCACATAATCATCGTGAGCACGAAAATACTACGTGTTGAAAGAGTTTTGCAATGAATTCTATGTTAGAACTGATCACACTCCTAAACAACACCTGCTGATGGAAAATGTAGTGGCATAAAGTACACACGTAGATTGAAAAATGAAACATGAACAAATTAAAGTTTAGAAATCAAGCTGCGTTTATCTAGTGTGTTTGTGTATGTGTGTATGTGTACCTCACAAATGCTGTTTGGCTTCAGTCGTGTTCATGTAATGATATTGTGGATCGGTTATTATTATTTTGTCTACTGCAATTCCCAACATGGAAGTATGAGGAGAGGAATCCCGACTGAACATTTATTCGACAAAATATTTTCAGTGTTCCGAGAATGCTGATGCTGATTTCGTGTGTGTGTGTGTGTGTGTGTGCGTTGAAAATATACCTGTAATCATATTGACGTCGGTGGTGGAGATGTTGTCTAGTGAGACAATGAAAGCCTCCCAATTCGACCAACCGGCTGAGAGAACACGAGTTTCCCAATATACTCGTAGTCTAAATTGGTATTAGATGGTTGGAAACAATCGTCAGGTGATGATTGTCTCCACCTGGTCACTTAGCCTGCAAAGTTGACTGTGATGAAATTCAACCGTGATCAACAATAGCGACCAGATGTTGTTTGAATGACACTGGTTACTCTCCAGTGATCAGTCAATGTATACTTGTAGTCTTTTGTGCTGAATTCATTGTATATTTATTCCGTGTTTTAGGGATATATACCTTCTCGTTGAAATGCATTAATTCCATATGAGGTATACACTATACTGTTGATCTTTTCTATGCACAACTTTTAACTGTACAACTGTTAATACATTGATTGTTTTGTGCTAAACCATATATAGCTATCTTGGTCAAATGAGTCAGGGGATAATTCACTGGATGCATCAAGCAATCATCCGCTTACCTTAACGTCGATCACTTCATCGCTTGATTCATCCTCATCTAAACTATCTAGTGATATTGTTGTAAGTTGTCATTGTCGTTGTTCTTGTATGTTGATTTTTAAGCATTCACCCTTATGCTTGTTTAGGTATGCCTGTTGTGTCATGCGTGTGTACAACTGAAGGATTCCAAACTTCCGCTGCTTTCGATGATTTTCAGACGGCTGTCAGCTTGTGATCTAACTGGAAATCAACCAAATAGTGTTCAGAAGTTATCAAAGTTCCATTTACTATAATCTGGTTGATTTGTTTCTTCAAATTAGTTTGGATAGTTGAGAGGTGGTGTTACTTTGTTCTGACGCTTGTACCGTTGTTTCTTCTGCTGCTTATATCAGTCAGCATTGTTTGCATTTATTACAGTTTTTTGCTGAACTTCATGAGTCATATTTGACCAAGTATTGGTATTGTTTGTTTCGTCGATTACGAGTGCAACGTAGAGAGCTTCAGCGTCATCTCCATTGGGTTTTGTTTTCTGTCGTCTTTTCTAGTTTTCTCCAAAACTGCTACCTGGCTTTCATTTTATCTTTATGTGAATCCCTCCCTCGGACGTCCAACTGGTTGCTCTTGTCCGCGGACACTTGAAGGTCTCCTCGACATATGTCAAATTCGTCTCCATCTCCTCGTGCATATTCGTCTAGTGATAGTTCTTTTACTGGTTCGCTGGAAAAGTTCCCCATTGCTTATCCTTTCTGACTATCTGATATTCAGTGTCTATCGGAGACAGGTGTCGATGACAGTCAGTGGAAACCTTGTTGGAAATGCTTTTGGTGACGTATGAAGTCTGTGGGGCATGTTTCCGCAGTGACTTGACATTAGCGTTGGGTAATAATTCAGACCTTGTTTCTTGTGCCAGGTGTTTTAGATCTATCTCCTCAGTGATTTCAGAGTGATGAACGAATGTCTTCCTTTGTGATCTTGAATGGCTTTGACATCCTCATTCGTGACACCTGTATTTGGTGCTTGGAGATTGTGCAGCACGAGTCATGGAGCATTCACGAAATCTGGATGTTTTAAGGTTTCAAGACTCAGCCATCAACACTGTTCCTTGATTAACAAGCTTAAGTTCTGTACTGAACGTGAAATTTAATTTCGAAATATCAGTACTGATTTGATTTAATCATCATTTCCTTGTGATCTTGTTTACCATATTGAGCTTTGGGTAACCTTGACACAGAGTTTCTCTTTATTATTCCACGATTTCGACTTATTCATTATGTTTAATGATACACCTTTTGCATTGAATAACCTGTGGCTAACATTTATCGCTTGTTTTCCAGCAACCTTCCCCACCTGTTTTGTCGTTGGATAAAAGTGAGGTGAGTTATACAACAAGAGAAGTTGGGAAGGGTAAAAGACGTCAACCAACGACTGTTGTAGATGATACTGATTCTGCCAATTGATATCACCGTCCCCGATGAGAACCTAATCCACTACACAAGTGAATCTATTATACGTATATGCGGGGAGAGTATAATTGCTGCTTATGCGAATTGTCTTTTATTTAGCTCAGTTTTGATGAACAACACAAAACAAGTAATGAAGGTGAAGTTAATGTATTCCATAGCCTCATTGGGATTCCTCGAATTGGATGCACTGTATATATCGTGATGTAATTACAGAGATAAGACAATATAAAAGTTTGATTCAGAATAATCATGTGTCAGTTAATGTAAACAGTCAGACGGCAAAATACAAAGAAATGGTTGCAGTGAAGTAAATTTTGTTTTTGATGGAGTTGTCGACTCGGCTGTGCACATTCTCGAGTATATTTATAAATCAAAACAGTGAAAAAGATCTAACAGTATTTCCGATGTTAGATGAAAGCATAACGAATAACAATTGGAAAGCTATGTAGTGCAAATAGCTATTGAAAATGTGATAGTAACAAAAGTGAACAGAAAGTTCGGATAATAACTATTGAGAAGACTGAGTGTTTGTGATGGTCACGGCGAAGACAAAGGTCGACGTGCTTCTTTCCGATATATAGCGTTGACTTGAATTTTCCAAGCCACTCACCGATGTTTGATCTATGACGAGACGTATTGACCTTAATTGCCTTCAGAGCGTCAGCCGGGTGTCATATAAAACTGAAGAATTTATCGAATGGAGCTGAGAGTGGCGATGAGTTCATCCGATGTTTTGTTACCGAACTATGAACACATCTACGTCCTCCGTTTGATTACCCAGGTGTATAATGTTCCCGTGCGCGATTTACAATACAATCGGACGCATGGTACGGCTGATGTAATGAGTTCCACAGCAGTTACGGAGCTGGTATATTTCGCATGTTGATGTGGCCTAGTGGGCGTACTGGTCTTTCTTTCACGTGATAGGGGAATGGAGTTTTGCAGGAAAATGTTAGTCGTAGGCTGACAGCGAAGTACGTTTTACTAAGAGATTTTGAAATGTGTTTCTTGAAAATGTCTGGGGATGACCTGCACTAGTTCAGCAGCTGTTTTCGGTGTCAGTTTGTTATCTATGAATCTAGGTGGTAAATTATTTTCCTTCAAGATCCGCCAAATATTTTGTAACTATTCATGAACGGATTGCTGTGTGCATATATTCGAGTCCTTGAGGAGAGAGGACACATGAGATTCCTCCTACTGCTCAGTGAACAAAACTTTGAAAACTAATTAACTGTCCGTTCCACGTAGACTCACTCAACGAGTTTTCAACATTTCTTTACTGGTGAACATGGAGTTAGATTAAACTTCTAGAATGAAGTCGATGTTTGGGTGGGCATTATTGAAGGTTTTGAGCAAGTTCCAAGAGTCAAATTGTCGTAAGAAATAATGAAATTATCGTCAGTGTATCTCTTATAAAGATGAAGCTCATTGGTTGTTATTTTGTACTAACATTGTGGTGCGAGCTGTCTGCTAGCCAAATTGGTAGACATTAATTTACATCAATGTTTATGTCCCAAATATTGGTCGTGAGAAGAATAAGAATGAAGACTTTGCGTAGGCAGATACAGTTAGCATATAGATGATCTGACATTCAAGAAACAGCCACAAAGAGATGAAAGATTAACTTCCAGTGAGAAACAACCAATGAGAAAACTGTGTTTTTCTGCTAATAATAATCTATCATAATGTACATGGAAATATATAAATATGTGTTGATTTCCTTAATAAAGGATCTGTTGCCTGGCCCTTGTCTTCTGTTGTCACAATATCGCTCCATTCATAACATAGAATTTGACCTTGTTTTGTGTGACATTTTCCTTTATATTGACAAATTGGTTATATGATAATGTATATGTTGATTGCTGAGTACTAACCAGACTCCTAAGAATTCTGTGGTATTGAAGAACAGTAAAAGTGGAGTCAGAGTGCTTTGACTTGCTTACGTTTAAGGCAAGAGGAACAATTTTTCCTGGTATCAACAGAATGTAGGATGAGAAGAAAACATTACGGGAAAATCGCAATCCACCGACACAGTTCCTAGTCTTGTTCCCACTGCGTTATAAAATTAAAAGGAACGAACCAACTACTAGTTTGTGTCTGAATGTGAAATTGATAGTCTGACACTTAGAAGGATTTAGCTTAATACCACTTGACAAGGATCACTGCCGAATTTCTGATAAGAACCTATTCATTTTGGAGCACATTTACGATACTGCTACATGCTGTGCTTTGGATAACGATAGACAAGTCACAGAAACGATTGATGAGAATGAGGCGTATCTTTCGAATTCTGAAGATGATAAGTGCATTGCATCAGATG